GCATCCATTCCCGGGACAAATAACCTCATGATATTCATTAGCTTCAGCTCCGGTTGACAGTGATGGAAACATGGCACGAGAGAGGGGACATTGTCACGTATTCTTTGAAGTTAATATATACTTGACATACCTAATGTTGACACAATTAACACTTGTAGTTTCATGTCTTGTTACATAAGAATAGACCATATTTGTTATGTGTTATTATGGGAGAATTACTATTATTGTGGTACTGCTGCCTTATTAGGCCCATATTGAGCATATTAAGACCCATCTCATGTACAACAACTTCCTTACAATAAATAAGCACTAATTAGAGGGTTATTGAGGAAAAACTCTCAACTAATGGCTTATTACTTGTAGAATATGGTCATGTAGAATAAGGCATCAATAAGTGTTTTATAATGACTAATAAAGAGCCAATATGCTGCTAATATGCATGTTAATTAACAACTAGTTGATGGTGAATTTGTGTACCTTAATATAAAGTGTTACCAAGCTTCCAATAAGATACGTTTGAATTCTGCACCTTGAGTAGACCAATCACAGAGCTACCTACTGAGTACTACAGTACTGCTGCCTGAAACGTGTCTCCCAGGCTGCACTTCATCCTATATTTGATAAAAGCAGGCCACTTTGTGCCTCAGTTCTTTCTGTCCCCGCTCCAGGTGCTGAGCACCTCCCAGCAGCTTCCTCGCTTTCATCTATGTCTCGACCTTTCTCTGTGAGTCATGTAACCAGCACTTAAAACCAATGACATAATACATTTTAATTAAATATAAAAATGAAGCTTTTTATCTCACAACCCACCGCACAGATCATTTTAAAAAACAACAACAAAGAAACCAATCAAGACGCTGACATTGCAGGGGCCTGACATTTTCAGTTCCCCAATTTGACCTCACTATAGAAGAGTTTAATGTCAATGTGGCTTCCATATCCGCAAAACTAATCTAGTCTAAAGTACAACAGTAATAGCTATGTAATAACATGAGGGTTGCTCAACAGGGCATGGTGCTGTCCATTATAAAGTGCCACTATGGGCAGAAACAGACAGAAACCTTCGTGGTCATCAAATTCCAAGTTTGAAGCGAGCTGTTTTTTTTTTATTTTAAAGTTGCGTTTTATTAGTGTGTACGATAGTTATTATAGCTTTCTAGACTTTTAGCCTGTGTTATCTTTATCGTGAACATAATGGTATTACCACAGGCAGCCCTAATGCATGCCAGCACTTAAATAAAACATAAATAACCAACAAATCAAGTCAATAACTTGCTGAAAAGTCCAACAAGGTTACTCTCCCTTACCGATCCACAGCAGAGCAAGATAAGATACACACCTGCTGTACAGTGATGAGTTTAGCCATGTCGTCCAGTGAGGCAGCTTCACTGATGATTTTAATTTGCTCCACTTCGTACTCCTCCTCTTCGTACTCCTCCTCCTCCTCCTCCTCCTCCTCAGCCTGCTCCTGCTGCTCCATACGATCCCCTTGAGGGAGGCGGGCCTCCTGGGGCAGGCCGGTTTGAGTGCTCTCCTGCAGTCACAGTGAAATAGCAACATAAGTTATGATGATACTAATCCCTTTGTGTTGCTCTACTCTCTATTGACCTGCTATAACAACACTCTGATGGAAGCCATTAAAACCAAGGCTCTAAAGTGATGGGGAGGTTGTTCCCAGGAAATAGTAAGGAACAGAGGAAGTGATACCATTTATATTCAGCATGAGAAATACTGATTCCTAATATAGATAGAGGAACTAAGTGGTTAGAATGAGCTCCAATCATCATCACAACTCTAAAAACCTTTAGCAATGTAAACCTTTCGAAACCAGTAAAATATATACGGTAATGTTTAACAATGTAGTTCCAGGATAGCAGAGTTTAAAATAATTGCTAAACTAAATAACTAACAGTAAACGACAGACTTTAAAATATAAATTGTATTTTTCTTAATGTAATTGGATTGGTTCTGTACCTGGGTCTCCTCGCGCAGCTGCTCCTCAGCGCGGGCTTCCTGCTGTAGCTCCACCTCTGCCCCACTGACCAGAGTCTCCACTGGGAGAGCTTCCTGACACCAAGGAGCGTCTCTTTTCTTCTGTCTTTTCTTCTGCCTCTCCTTCTCCTCTTCTTCTTCCTCTCCCTCCTCCTCCATCGCTAAGACCTCGGCTGCCTTCTCCAGGTCACTCTCCTCTTCGTCTTTTTTTGCTTCCCTTTCCTGTGCGGGACCTAAATCTCCTCCCTGCTGCTCTGCAGGCTTGGACTGATCCATTTCTCCATCTGTAGAGGGGTGTAGTCCATTTCCAATGACTGACGTGGTCTGTTCTACCCCTCCTTCTGCCTCTCCTACCTCACCGTCACTGCCTTGCTTGACGGTCAGCTGATCTCCATGAAAACATGCTTCCCTGTTCAGGTCTTCCCTCTCTCTTCTTGAGATCTCAGGGGAATCGAGGTGATCCGTCAAATGAATGGACGGGCCGACCGGAGGGCTGCTCAGAGGGGAGGAGGAGTCATGGCCTCTCGGCTCCATCCATTCATCAATTTGATGGACTGGATGATTACAAAGAGACACAATGAGGTAGGTATTAAAGGGTCAAAAAGAAAAAACTGGTTTAAGGCATCAAAATAGAACTTGATTATTTTATTAATCCTAGAGGACATTTGGCTTCACACTCTGTCCCAGGTCGGGGCAGCTTATGTTTTATGTTTATGAATCACACCAACCTTCGACTGATTGCAGGATGGAATAGTTTCACTTATTTGTTTATGTTTTATAAATGATTTCTAATCTTACCAAAGCAATTACAACCAAAATGCAGTTGAGAGGGACTTGTGTATTTAACGGTATTCTATTTTCTTTTCAAACTTAAACTAAATACTTAAAAACACATATCTCTGAAAAAAAATCCCCCTATGTGTAACGGAGGTGATCTCTGGGGCCATAGATCTCGGCCTCCGTTACGGATTGCATAGCTTCGTTGGTGGCGAAGTGTATGTAATTTGTGCATCCGTTTGTCGCGATCTGTCTGTGTTTTAGTTTGTCTGTCTCTGTTTCCTGTTTTATGTTGAACAGTGTTCCCCCTCCCGGTTTGTCTGTTGCTGCTGATTGTGTTCACCTGGTGCCCTGTGTTGTCTCCTCCCCCCTCACCAGTGTCTTGTTGGTTTGATTAGTCTATGTGTATTTAGGCACTGTTTTTCCTGTTTGTGTGTGTGAGATCCTTGTGGCTGCTGACTGTGTTCAGGGAGGACAGTCATATTGAGGCTGTGAATTATGTGCCCATGAGGAATAAATGCCCACACCGGGTTATATTTGAACTATATCTGCCTCTGCCTTCTTGCTTGGTCGGGCCGCTCAATTGTCAGCTTCACACTATGTCAATCTAATCTAGTCTGTCCAGTCTCTCCACCACTGCTACTGAATGTACCCATTTAACACATTCACACAGTACGGAACCATCACAGTTCGCCCTAATGCCTTTATTTATATACATTTCACTGAGTGACAACCTACAAATTATCCCAAAAAATAATTCTCATAACTTAGAAGGGACTTTTTTTTAAAATACCCTTGTTTTTATTATGCCTTAGCCAAATGTCCTAAAACCGCATATGAATGACATTATAACGAACCACCCTTCTACACATTTCCTGTTGATGAGCAGGAACATTAATGTTTGGCTTAAGGTCCATTTAATACCTTTTCTTACACTTTCTACTTAATCAGGACATGACAATAATACAATCACTCACCTGAGGTACTTGAAGGCAGCAAACCACTTTGTTCAAAGATAGGTCTCGAAGGTTTCAGAGATGCACACTGTACACACAAAGGAAAAAATGTAACACGCGATACCACTACACGGTTTAGTAATATGCAAGTTACGCATTATTTAAAAATGTAACCTATGGCAACATGCACAGTGAACTAAAGAGAGGTGTGTATTTAAAAATCAACGAGTCATTTGAAATGCACATTCATTCTATGTACATTTTCACTTTCATACAAAGACACAAATGAATGACTAATGTCTCACCCCAGCATCTGTAGCTCCTGGTCTGTAAACAGAAGAAAAAGAGACACAGTGAGATTGGGAGAGGATTGAAGGTCTGTTCTAGGTTTTAGTAAATGAAGACGTGAAAGATGGGTGACCCTTCTCTACTCATTCAATCTAATATTAGCTCAAACACATTTCCCTGGCTAATACAACATATGTGTGTGTGTGTGTGTGTGTGTGCGTGTGTGTGTGAAGTGAAACCCTAGTAGTGTGATAGCTCAAATGACTGAAAGTGCAGCAGCAGCAAATGGACATATGTTTTAACTATCACTGCAGTGCCCCACACCCACACAAACACCCCCACACACCCACCCATTTATATTTTCACAAAGTAGCAGAGATATAACAGGTTATAAGGTGCTAAGTGAAGTTGCTTTGTTCAGCATCTCATAGTGAAAGTAA